CCTGTCATCCAAATAAACCTTCTGCTTTACTGGCTGGCTGAGAGTCATGGTGAATCGCAGGAAGCCGGGGGTGCAGGGCCCTGAGTTCCCCCATACTCCGTGACAGTGCCCCTCGCTGGATCTGGCTATGGGTGATGACTAGGGTGCTCCGGTCACCAATCCGCCAGGTCACCCCCTATCAGCACCTCGGTTGGCCACTGATGGGACACCCCAACATCTTTGGGGCCCACCTTGGCCCCCCCATTTTAGACATACCCTGGTTACCTTAACCGGGGTCACGCACACACCCAGGTAGGTGTTGGGCATCACCCGGTCTGGGGCCACCACTTTGGGCCGGGCCAGCGTCACCTCAGCCACCTCCAGGGGAACGAGGCACCCTGTAGATTGAGCGCCCCGAAACTGGAGCGTCCAGCCCCCTCCAGGAGCGGACTCCAGAGATTCTTCCCTCCCCAGTCATTGCTAAGCTGCCAGCCACACCTAACCCTCCTCCAGCTGGGATTGCATTCCATATCCCGCTCTGCTGTCTGCAAACGCGCCGGCCGGCCGCCCTGCGCAGCGCAGCGCAGCGCAGCGCAGCGCAGGTCCTTCGGCCTTTTGTCCACCAGCCGCCTCCTCAGAGCTCCAGTCCCATCCGCTCCAACGCGTCCTCCCCGGTCTGGGCCCCGGCCCCGTGTATTTCCCCATCAGCGTGGCCAGTTCCAGGTACATCCTTCTGCATATGCCAGAACCTTTTCCCCGTACGCCTCGGTTCAAACTCCAGCAACGGGGCCTGTTTGAACGGTCCGTCGTCCCCGGCTCCCACCCCGTCCAACTGCCTGAACAGCGCTATGGCCTTGGGACCCGGTAAGGGGGGGAAGATACCAGAGCCTGTCTGCAGGGTCAACCTGGAGCACATTTTCCAAGGCAGTGAGGAAGGCGTCTATGTCCGCCCCTTCCTTAAACTGGGGCAGCAATTTTATATCGGAGTTCCCTGCGGGCTCGGCTCCCCTGGGGTCCATCCCCACTCACCCCAGCTGCCTCTCAGCTCCGCCATTGCCCGTTCATGCTGCCTCTGTCTCTCCTGGTCCTTCAGCTCTTCCCGTTTCAGCTCCACCTACAGCCATGAAGATCCCCTTCTGGTCGGGGAGGTGGATCCCAGAGCTGCCTGGCTGCTCTCAGCCCCTCCCTGGGCCCCAGCTCGCTCGGAAACTGGTGTAGGCCCTGGGGCTGCCTGGCGGTTCCCAGCCTCTCTCGCGGCCCCAGGAACCGGCTCCTTAAAGCGATCCTCCTCTTCCAACCAAGCAATCAGCTGTGCCTTCGTGAGCTTTCCAATGCGTAGCCCTCTCTCTCTGCACAGCTCTACAACGTTCTTCTTAAGGAGATACTTATAGGCTATCTCCTCGCTGTTCCCAAGTGGTCACGGACTCACAGGCCTGTGGTTTCTCAGCTCCCCACGGTCCCTGGGAAGAATCGACAGCCCTTCTCGGGGGTCCACTCTATCTCAGGGTTAAGCCGTAGGCTCCTCCGCCTCCTAGAACCGCACCTCTCTGAGCCTTCAGCACGCCCGTCTCTCGCTAATCCCCCTTTGTTTTACTGCTCCCCAGTCACTTACTGCAGAATGCTCCAACCACGGGGTGCAGTTTATCCCACTGCTACCACCAGTTGTCATGGAATCACCGGGGTGATGCTCTGAAACTGCTCCCTACGAAGCCAGTCAGGACTCTGGGGGAGCCTCCTCTCTGTGAGTAGACTGTCTTCAGGGCAAGCAGCTCACATGGTTTCACCTTCCTGGGTCTGACCTTGGAGCATTCAGCATCCTCTGCCCCTCTGTGCACTTCCCACAGTGAGTCCTGGGGGAGCCAGAGGGCCCTGCACCCCACCTCCGCAGTCAAACATGACTCTCAGCCAGCCAGTAAAACAGAAGGTTTATTAGTCGACAGAAACACAGCGTAGGACAGAACTTGTTAGCATAGAAATGAGTGACTTTCAGCCAAGTCCATCTTGGGGGAGTCCCGATCCAGACGCCCTGGACTCCCCCTCTTCCAGTCCCAAACTGAAGACTGCCCGGCTTCCAGTGACTGGACCTCAGACACCCCCGTTGCTCCTCCTCCTTGTCTTTGTCTCGCTTCCCAGGATCGATCATGGGAGATATCATTGGAAAGGTTATGATTCCATGAATAGGATTATCCAATTTGTATGCATGTATCATTTTGGTATCTGAAGTTAAGAATATTGTCCATGCATCTATTACAAGTGTTTGCATCTGGGGAATGCCCACTAGGCAGAATGCAATCGGTCTAGATTGCATTCTGGGAAGGGCCATTAGAGAAAACAGTAGGTCTTAGAAGATGCTAATCTCCCACCGGGGAGCCTTCCTGGGGACACTACAACCAACCTCTAACTCATGGAGGTTATGGCCCTACAGGGGCATGTAACCAATCACCCGGTACTGGACTCCATCAGAGAATACCAGCGTTTTTCCACTGACCAGTGTGAGAGCTAAAAAGTTGGAGACGAAGGGTTCCCGCCTTATCATCGAAGATTAGGGTTGGAAGGGACCTCAGGAGGTTTCTAGTCCAACCCCCTGCTCAAAGCAGGACCAATCCCCAACTAAATCATCCCAGCCAGGGCTTTGTGAAGACAGGCCTTAAAAACCTCTAAGGAAGGAGTGGGCTGTAGTCCACGAAAGCTTATGCTCTAATAAATTTGTTAGTCTCTAAGGTGCCACAAGTACTCCTGTTCTTTTTAAGGAAGGAGATTCCACCACCTCCCTAGGGAACCCATTCCAGTGCTTCACCACCCTCCTAGTGAAATAGCGGGACGAA